GTAGCCCTCACTTAATTACAGGCTGACAAATTTTGAAAAGCGCTTGCAAGAGAAGCCAGCAATGAGCTTTTTGTCAACTTGCTGGAAGAGACAGCACTAATTTTATTTCTCTCTTTCTCTCTAAATTGCTTCCTCAAGTTACCAATCAAACATAACATACAGTGTTCAACTCCATCATTTTTCTTAATGTTTTACAACTGAGAAAACTGGCCTTGTGCCAACATGAAACACTTGACCTTCCATGTGTGTTTGAAGATGGAGGAACATACAGCACATGTTGGGAGACCAGTGAGTCACATCACGTACATTTGCCTGCATTTATTAATAAAGAAATAGGTGATATTCCGTTTTGACAGAATGCACTTTTAAAACAGTACAAATCCCACACCTGTTTAAGATATCTTCTAAAAACTATTTAAAAATAAATAAATTACATGTATTTACAGGGGTAGCATCAATTCAAAATTTACCAATTTCTAAAATTGTATTAACTACCTGATATTACTTATAAACTCTCCCAGATTACCTCTACCAATTTCATAGAATCATAGGAGTGGAAGGGACCTCGAGAGGTCATCTAGTCCAGTCCCCTGCACTCATGGCAGAACCATCCCTGACAGGTGTTTGTCTAACCTGCTCTTAAAAATCTCCAGTGATGGAGATTCCACAACCCTCCTAGGCAATTTATTCCAGTAATTAACTACTTTGTATGGTTTTAACATCACATTTTTAAGCCTCCATTACAGTCGTCAATCCTGGAGCTGCTAGGCATTGGCCTGGTCCCCAGAGTAAGCCACAAAGTCTATGTCAGCATCAGGGGAACAGGTGGCTGCTGTGGGGTCACAGCCACACCTCTTATAGCAAATACAAGGAGGGGGTTGACATAGGAACTGCAGTGGTGGCTATGTACCACCAGAAGATTCCCCTACTCAGCGGAGTATACTACCATTTTGCACTAGTGGACCATGGTTACATGGCCAGAGAAAAGTTATGAATCTGGCCATGTGTTTTCAAAATGCTGAGATTTTCACTCAAAAACATAGCTGTTTTTTAAAGCAATCGGGCTTTTTAGCAAAAAACAGGTTTTTAGCAAAATTGGACCATTTTCTCAAAATTGCAACATGTAAAAAGCTCACTTTTTTTAGTTTAAAAGGATCAATAAATAAAATACTGAACTATACTAGTCATTTTATATGATTCATTTTGCCTCTAAATGGAGACATACAGCAAAAGCTACTCAGTCATACTGCTCTAAAGCACCATGGGCAGAAATTATAGCCACAAAGATGCAATTTATATTTTAATCTTCCTGCTTTTGTTCATAACTATAAAAGGAATTTAATTCTAAAAGTTTGTAATTATAATAATTGGTGCTCACCTGCTGGTCATATTTCTTTCTCTGTCAAATGCCATGTTTTGAGGATGCCATGTTTTGCAGATGAGAGTGAGTGAATGAACTAGTTGGGGGCATGCACCCCGGGAAGCAAAAATGTGTGTTTAGCCCAAACGCTCTCCCTCACTCCCTAGCACATCATTTGGGTGCACACAACAAAACAATGAATGTCTTGGGAGCTGACCACCCACATGGACGATTAAATGATTACCTTCATGAAGATGATGATCTCCCATTCAAGCATTGAGTTGACCTAGCACCATTTAGCTTTGTAATGAGATCACACCCATGAGCTTTCCCCATGTCCCAATCACACCATGCTATCCTGTGACCAAGATGAGATGGCTACTATTGTGTAAAATGTTGGGGTGGACCCCGAAATCCTAAGCAATAAGGCAAGGGTAAAACAAACAGGAATGTCCACTTCCAGCCTGATATCTCTAAAAGGAGGCAACAGATTGTACTATGGAAAGAGAGATGGGGGATATAAACTCATTTCCTAAAGGCCAGGTAGGTGGAAAGAGAGAGGTAAGAGGGCCAGAAAATCACACCACTAACGAAGGGAGCGGGGATACAGTGAGTAGATTAAAGCTTCTCTCAACAGCAGGGAGTTTTATTTTTTTCTTCAATAAACCATTCCCTTCCAACCTCCCACTGAAGAAAGTCAGCTAGATACGCGTGCTGTGGAAAAGGGGGCTTACACAGACCAGGAGAAGGCTTTAAGAGGCTCTTTACAGAACAGGTGGCATAACACTTCCAGCACCTGTTTTTGCAGAAGACCTGCTGTGTACTGGGAACAAGCTGGGGAAAGGGGTTTAAGGTAGCGTGGATGCAGCAACAGTTCCAAGCCTCTCCACTGTGCCTCAAAGACAATTTCATGGCTGCCCTTGGAGAGAATTTATTCCTCCCCACCCTTACAGTTATCTAACTGACAGATTCTCCCAGGATGGAATTTTCTCTTCCTTGTGAAATCCTTCACCTCTAGTGAGGCAGCACACCAGGACTCAGCAGGTTGGGTTTGGGACCCTAGCTGAGTTGAAGCTAAGTGGGACTCTCACATGTCCTCTCCCTGCCTACTTTCCCAGAAGGCCCATTTCCGAGTCCTCCACCACCGATTGTTCTACCTTGGATACCTGCTAACAGCAGTATGTGGAATGAAGTGCCCGTTCTCAGCCTGAAATACAAAAGGGCACATACAATTAAGCAGCTGCAGATGGTAGCTGTAGCTCTATCCTATTTGGCAGAAGGAAGGATTTACCCAGAAGGAGGGAAAGCATCTCCCCAAGAAGGAAGCCCTCTCGTGCTCTTTTATTACTTTCCTCATCATGTTCCCATACCATACAGAGCTCCTGTTTTCCTCATATAAACCC